GAAGGCTTCCTGGACTTTGCTCTCAATGAGTTCACAGTCTTGTAAGACAGTGGATGTGTCTATTCAATCCTGAAATCCACAGCACAGGAGAAAGCACAGCACATCACAGTGCCCATCCCTAGAACCATACGTAAGTCACGAGGTCCATAAAAGGCAGTATTAAGAACATCAGTTTATTTAGCTTCTTTGGGTCTTTGGGGTATAACATGGTACCTGTATTTTATGACTAATATCCACTTATAAGTGAGTATATATCATGTATGTCCTTTTGGGACTGAGTTACCTCATACTGGATGATATTCTCAAGTTCCATCCATTTGCCTGTAAAATTCATGATGTCTTTGTTTCTGATAGCTGAATAATATTCCATTGTGCAGATGCACCACATTTTCTTTATCCATTCTTGAGTTGAGGAACACCCAGTTTCTGGCTATTATGAATAAAGCTGCTATGACAATAGTTGAGCAAGTGTCTTTGTGGGATGTTGGAGCATTTTTTGGATATACGCTCAGGAGTGGTATAGCTGGGTCTTGAGGTAGAAGTATTCCCATTTTTCTGAGAAGCTGCCAAAATGATTTCCAAAGTGGTTGTAGCAAAGAAGCTTGAATCTCACTTAGAAGGGGGAATAAAATAGTCATAAGAGGCAGACAGAGGGAGGAACTGGGAAGGAGGGGCAAAAGGAAAGTTCAGGATCAGGTAGGTGTGGGGAAGATACAGGGGAGATGACTAGATGGCTATGAAAATCTGCAACTGACAGGGGTGAGGAGGTGGGGGGCATCTCCAGTACGAGATAGATATCTGGGATAAGAATCAATGGGGGTGACCTCAGCTGCAACTCACTACTTTGGGGATATGGAACCTAAAGAGGTCACCTCCTATGGCCAGGCAGGAGCCCCATTGGAGAGAGAGAGAGACACCAACCCACCCACAAAACTTTCAACTCAAAATTTATCCTGTCTACAAGAAATGCAGGAATTGGAGGTGGAGCAGAGACTGAGAGAATTGGCAACCAATAACCAGCCCAACTTGAGACCCATCCCATGGGCAAGCACCAACCCCTGACACTATTAATAATACTCTGTTATGTTTGCAGACAGGAGCAAGTTGTTCTCTGTGAGTCCACACCCAGCAGCTGACTCCTATAGACAGACACCCACAGCCAGACAGTATGTGGAGCTTGAGGACTCTTACGGAAGAACAGGAGGAAGAATTACTGCCTCAAAGGGAATAGGAACTCCACAGGAAGAGCAACAGAGTCAGCTAACCTGAACCCTTGGGGCTCTCAGAATCTGAACCACCAACCAAAGAACATACATGGGCTGGACCTAGGCTTCCCCACATATGTAGCAGATGTGCAGCTTAGTCTTCATGTGGGTCCCTAACAACTGGACTGGGAGCTATCCCAAAAGCTGTTGCCTGTATGTGGGATATGTTCTTCTAGCTGGCCTGCCTTATCTGGCCTCAATGGGAGAGGCCTATCCTTACAGGGACTTGAAGGCCAGGGTTGGGGGATACACAGAAGGGAGCCTACCCATTCAGAAAAGAAAGGAGGTAGGATTGGGGAAGGATTGTGGGAGGGAATGACCAGAAGGGGGTAGTAATTGGAAGGGATGTAAAATGAATAAGTAAAAAAAATTAAATTTTTTTTTAAAAAAGGACCTCAGTTTAGAGGATGAATTTCTTTCAGTCTTGTTCACCATTTGCCTGCCACATAATGAGATATCCGTATTTGTTAGATGAATTCAATAATTCATGGTGACAGTGGGCTTGTGTTTTGAAGGAAAAAGTGAAATTTAAACTTACTTAAACGGTGAGTGAAGTATTAGCATTGATAAGGGCAGAGGGTTTCAGGAAGGCAGGAGGAAAAACAACGACAGTAAATAGACACAATTTAAAGCTCAGGCATGTTAGAGGATTGCGTGCCCTTTGCAATCATACAACCAGAACACATAGGACAGGAAAGATGGGCTGGAGAGAGATTGCTGTGATCAAGTTGTGTTAAAGGGTTGGACTTATCTATAGTAGGACCCTATCCCATTCCTGTTTCCTGGGAGTTTTTCCTGAGGTCTCAAGTACCTCAGTTTAGATGATGAATTGTACAGTTGCCTTAGTTACTTTTCTGTTACTGCAATAAAATATTCTTGACAAAAGCAAGGAAGGAGAGAAAGGGGTTGACTTACAGTTCCAGAGGGATGGAGGCCACAGTGTAGGGGAAAGATGGAGGAACAAGAAGTTGAGAAGATCACACTTCATTCACACACTGGAAATCAAAAGAGACGAGAACAGGAAGTGCGGCAAGGTTATAAATCCTCAAAGTCTGCCCCCAGTGATGTACTTTCTCCAGCAAGTTCTATCCCCTAAAGGTTTCACGACCTCCCCAAACATTTCCACTAACTGGAGACTAAGTATGCAAATACATGAACCTAAGTTGGGCATTTCTCCTTCACACAACAACCACCATCTTGCATGGCCATGAAGAGTCCCTGCAGCTCCACAGAGAGGTAGCAGATGAACTTAGAAAGGTGAATCTTCACAGCACTGGATGGATCACAAAAGGAAGAACAGAGATATTCTCTAGTCCAGGTAACTCTGCACATGACTTTGTACTAATGGTAAATCTTCAACAGCAGCCCAGAGCCGGAGAGATGGTGGGGATTGAGAGCATTAGAGAGGACCCTCCCTGGGCCCCCAGCTCCTGCATCAGGTGCTACATAACAACCTATAACTCCATCTCTGGGGGAACCAGTGCCTATGGCCTCCATGGGCACCTGTATTCACGTTCACAAACAAACACAGATACACATGCTTACACATGAGTCAAGATAAAACAAATCTTTTTTAAAAATAAACAAATCTCTCTTTCCTACCTCTGTCTTTTATGTGGTTTATGCTTATATCCTGAACATAGCTTCAGAATAATTAAAGATAACAATGAGAGATCACTGTGCTTATGGTTGTATCCTTTGAGGCTAAGACAGTATCTAGCATATTTGATGAATAAGTTAATGGAAGGAAGGGAGGGAGAAAGAAGGGAGGGAGGAAGGGAGGGAGGGAGGGAGGGAGGGAGGGAGGGAGGGAGGGAGGGAAATTTTCTAAGATGAAACAAACAAACAAACAAACAAAATAAACTAAGACATCTGTGGTGGTGGCAGACAATAATCCCAGGACTCGAGAGACAGAGGCAGGGGAATCATGAACTGGAGGCCACCTTAAACTATACAGTTAGTTCCATAATAGCCTAAGTCTCATAGCAAGATCCTGCCTCAGGTGAAATAATCCTTAAATATTATATACATGATCCTTAAGTAGTATATACATGTAAATATAAATACATACACTATTTAATTTCAATCACATTTTCAAAATAGACATATGCATTTACTAACTAAAAATGAGTCCCAAAATGACAATTTCCTTTGTTTTCAGTTTATTTTACAACATGATTACTTTTACAATGGAAAAAGCAAGTCAATACTGTTTATTTAAGAGGAAAAGGCCAGAGTAAACAGGGTTGAGCTCTTGCTGCCAGGGTTTGATAAGACTTAATATATAGTCTCAGAAATCCCAGGCCTTCTTTGCAGGAATATGTCTACAGCTGCAACCCTACCACTCCTACATAGGGAACAGCTACTAACTTCCCCATAGCAGCCCTCCCCAACAAACCTGTGAGGAGTTACATAGAAATACTGGGAGGTCCCAGCTTTTACTGGAGCAGCCATGGAAACTGATGGAAAACTGTTAATGGTACAGTTTTAAGTGAAACACAACAGAATGCAAAGGACAGGCTCCCTATGGATGGAATTTTACAAGCTATACATTTGGCAAGAATTTATTGAAATAATGAAAAAGCCTGATGAGAAATATGACCACATACATCCAGAGAAATGACAGCCAAAACAGAGCATACCTTTCCAGCACTTCAAAGTTTAAAGACATGCTCAGAACATGGATCCACTCCAGACCCTAGAGTGCACGTCTGCGCACTCTCACACCATAACCCCAAGCCCTAGGGTTTCTGTTTCCTAAAGCAAAGCTTTTTAATTTCAGCATACCTACGATTAACCTACATACTTTGACCAAATGCAGATTTGCATTCAGCATATCTGTGGGAACAACAAAGACTCTGTATATCTAACATTCTCCAGTTTCGAGGGCTGCTGGTCTTCAGACTATACTTAGGATAGTAAACATCAAAGAAGCTGGCAACCAAGAAATCTCAAGGGCCATTAGACACCAGGACACCAGGATACCAGGATCAGGAAACATGGGTTAATGTCATCCTAACTAAGCAAGGAGGAAAACAGAAGATGCTCAGTGGAGCTTCTATATCACACCCTGATTCCTAACACCTTCACTAAATATCTCATCTGGACCACTGGCAACTTGGCCTCATTAAGCTTAATTAATAAAAGCTTACATTCCAGAGCTTCTGAGAAGATGTCTGAGGCCCCAGGTCTTTGTTAGTTCAGACAATGTCATCTTGCCAGGGTGGGTCTGAGAGTCTGGGTTTTGCTCAAAGTTGATCATTTGAAGTAGTCAGCAGTAGACTATACCAGATAACAAAGAGTACTTTAGAAGCTCATTTTTCATCATGTGTGATGGCTTATGCCTTAATCAGTTCTCAGGAGGGGGCTTGACAGGAGCGCTAGACAAGCCTGTCTACACTGTAAGACCCCATTACAAAAGAAAAGAAAGTGTCTCAAATCCAGGAACAAAAACGCTAGACTGGAGATGCAGCCAAAAGCTGAGACAGGTAGAAAGAAGTTGTGGCTCCAAAGCGCCTGTCCACACATCAGACTCACACATGCTTGGTAAGGGACCGGAACCAGAAAGCCCATCAGACCTGTTCAGTGTGGGGATAAGTCTCCCACGGGACTAGTGTGTTCACTGAATTGGAAGATTGCTCTAGTCAGTCAGAACTGGACTGCAATATCCTATCTTATGTGGACCAAGAGCAATCTTGGCAAATCCTTCTTTCTAAGGACAAGCTGTCTAGTCCACACACTGAGGATGCCTTTGGACCCCTTTCAGCAGCCAGAAAGGGCACTGAACTTTGACCTCCAAAGATAAGACAGTCACATTTACCATACCATACCTATTGCCCCTGTTCTTTTCAGCAAGTACTCTATGAAGCAGACTCCCAACTCCCAGCACCTGCTCCTTCCAACACCCAACCTATACTGAAACACTCAACATCCCTTGAAAGAGCAGAGCACATCACCAAGGGCAAATTAGGTGAATGGACATGGATGAAGGCTTTGGGGCCAGGCATCTGTGCTGACTGACTGCAAGAGTCAGCCATTTCTGGCTCTAACACCCTTGCAGCTCAAGTCACAAAGTTCCCTCTGTGATCTGCAGAATTTCGACTCAGAGTTCTCCCAGAAGCAAATAGCTAAACCAGCTGAATGTCAAGGTTCAAGTCTCTTGCCAGCCTATCTGGGCCCCAAAAGCCAGAAATGACACGATGCCATCGCAGCTTGCAGTGTGTATACTTAGCTAAGTGAAAGGGTATGTCAAAAGAAAATGGTAGGGAAAAGCCCAGACATGACTATATGAAGTTAGACTTGCTACCCATCCTCATAGATCCTTTGGAGATGTCTGTGTGCACGGTGGACAGGGGCAGATGTTCAGTTTCCCCTCGAGGTGACCTGCAATGGCAGGTCAGCACCAGAGCCTTGATATCCTTCTTGAAGTTGATGTTGAGAAAGCCATAGATGAAAGGGTTGACACAGGTGGAAGCCATGGCAAACAGGTGGCACACCAAGAAGATAAGGTTGCCATGGCAAGCGGGGATGGCTTCCTGGTACCAGTCCTCCAGAGTGTTGAACACATGCAGAGGCAGCCAGAGAACTGCAAAGGCAGTCACCATTGCCATGAGCATGCCATTGATCCGCTTCATCTGCCCCACTCGTGAGCTGCAAGTGTGCCCTTGGAACACAAGCCTCTGCCTCCGCAGGCGCTGGTAGATGCGTACATAACAGACCAGGATAAAGGCCAGAGGGATGCAGTACTGAAAGAGCAGCAGAAAGGTGGTATAGATGAGACGGTGATGATCTGAGGACCAGGACACAAAGCAGACGACCTTGTCTTCCAGAAACTCTACAACCCTAGAGTGATTGTGGTGGAAGAGGTCGTTCAGGATGCTATTGGCCAAGAAAGGCAAGGAGAGGAAACAAGAGATGAACCAGATGACCCCAATCCCCAGGTAGGCCTGGAAAATACTAGGTTTCCAGCCTGTTGGATTGATAATGAGCTGGTGCCTCTCCAGGGCCACAAGGACCAGTGAGAGGATGGAGACTGTCACCGACATACACTGGATGAAAGTTAACATCTTGCAAAGGACTTCACCAAAGACCCAGTAGTCCATGATGGTGTAGGTGACTGTGAGTGGCTGGCAGATGAGGCACATGAGGAAGTCAGAGAAGGCCAGGTTGGCAATGAGTAGGTTGGTCACATTGGACTTTTCTTTTTGCCTTATGGTCACAAATATCAAGCAGAGGTTTCCCAGGACCCCCAAGATGGTCTCAATGCTGTAGGTGGTGATGATGAAGGCTAACAGGTCTGCCGAATCCTGGCAGCCATCAGAGAAATTATAGAGGGAATCCAGTGGGTTGGTCCCATTCTTACCCTGTAGGGATCCTGGGAAGAGGGAGGCCATGAAATGAGAGGTATTCATGGTGGGTGTGAGAAGATCTAGGAACTCCAGGACTAAAGAGCCCACTTCAGATGTGCAGCCTGCAAAGCAAACAAATGGAACTCAAGGATCATGCATCTAAAATGGAACCAGGTAAGAATAAGGTCAAGGGAGAATGTTCTTAGCTGCTTATATCTCATGGCATTGGGAGCTATCATATAAGGATTAAGGTAAGAGACAGGCATCCAACACTCACTCCCTTATAGGCAGCACTTGCTGTGTGTCAGAGACTGTACTGCATGTTTTGAATATTAGCTACTTTATTCTGACAAGTATTATCAACCTTGTTCATTGGTGAAGAACCTAAAAGCCACACAGGAAGCTATTTGCTCATATTCACACAGCTAATGAGACATCTGACTGTCTCGGAGGTGCCATAACTTGCCCAACAAGCTCCCTCTAACCTCACGATTTGAGGCTGTTCTAATGAGAAAAAGCTTGGAGCATAGAAAGCCCTTTATCACTTCATCCCAACAAAGACAGCAATAGATCCTCTAAGGTGACCCTCTCAGTCTTTTATGGCAACCATGGAACCTGAACTTTGGGGCTTGGCACACAGTGCACCCTCCTAATGTCAGACCATAGTGTTTCGTCTGCCTTGTTGCTGAGGTGGCACACGGCAAAAGTGAGGGCAATCAGGAATGAAAACTGGTTCATCAGTACCTTCTCCATGCTGTCTACAATACTCATGCACAAACCTGCCACCAACATGTGATGCCCATCACCCTCCATAACACAGACCTATGCTCAAGTCGCCTGGCATACTTCCATCCCCCGGCACTGGCTACCCTTCCACTTGGGCTTTCTGAACAAATGGATCTTCGAACAACACTGACTCTCAAGACCCTGAGTTCCAAGTCAGTCAAGAAGCAATGCCATTGATGGGGCCTGACATGGAGGGTCAACTACCATACTGTTGCACATCCTCTTGCAGATCAGCACATGAGTTTTCCAGGTATTATTAATCCCACAGGCTTACCATTTTCAACCTTGACTAAGAATCACGGTCATCACAGGGGCATGTTCAAAGTGAACTTTCCAGGAGAAACAGGGAAGTGAGCCAGGGATGGAGCCAAGGGAGCTGTATTTTAACAACTGGCCTGTAGGGTTTTGCTGAACATGATTTGGGGGCCCAATTTTGAAAAAATGGTATTCCTGTCAGAATAGTCCCTCTGAGGTGGTTCTTTGATGCCATGTATTAATAAGCCAGGCCTGTTTTTGAATATACATCTCACTCTCAATACACACTCATCTTCATGATCAAGTGCAATTTTGACAGAAAGGTCAAATTAGCCAGAGATCAATAAAATTGGTTTTCTGGCAGTCACAAATGTCCCTCACTGTTCACTTGGCCTGACCAGCGAATGTGAGTCTCACCTGACCATTTACAAAACCAATGAATCTGACAGACAGTTTACAGTCTAGTTATTTGGACTGCCAACTCTCCAGGGGAAGAAGGGTTGTCTGGCACCACTGTCTTCTGGACACAAAAAGCATTTGGCCAAATATAACAAGATGAAATATACCCAGCCAAACACAAGGACTAGGATTTGAGAGGAAACAGAAGCCACAGCTACATGAATCTGTGCCAGATGTACTGGCCCAGAGGTAGCAAAAGGAAAAGAAGCCCAGACACTGTCTGGCCATCAGCCAGGATGAGGACATCAGTGTAGGGTAACACCAGCATGACCAGAAGGGAGTCAGGAGGCAGGGAAGGCTTCAAGCAATGATCACTGCTTCATGCATCTGCTTGACCAATGTGGACAGACCCCTAGGGTAAGGACAGAGGCCATGGCCCTCCAAGGTGGAGAAGCTGATCACTGGGCATGCAGACAGACCTCAAGGCCGCAGTGCTACTGCCGCAGTCAGTACTGTAGGTACCTTGGGATTAGAGACGGGGCTAAGGGCAGTGAGAAAGAAGAGATGGTGTGGAATCTAGAGTTCACAGATCAAAAAGGAGACAAATAGACAAAGGAGAGGACAGAGTTCAAGGTATGGAGAATAGTGCATACAAAGGCACAGAGGCAGGAAAGATGGCAGCCTCCAAGATGGCAGCCTCCTAAGACAAGCAGTCAGAACAGTGGGAGACAAAGAAGGGAAAGGAAGGAGAAAGGATGAGCCTGGAAAGCTGAAGATCAGGAGTGGTGGGTGAGCCAATGAAAGGTGGAAAGCAATCATGTACGTTCCAGAAAGATCACTTTGATGTAGAGGGTAGATCAAGACTCTGAAAAAGCCAAGACAGAAGGAAAGGGACATTTAAAGGGGCAGCACAGAGAGTTTTCCTTGGCTCATGTCCTTTTTCCTAGAGAAACCAAGGAAAAGGTGGGTAGAGAAGACTTTCCATTCAAGAGCCTGTGCTTAGTCCCCAAGTCATCTGAGAGCTTCTAGAGTCAATGACAGAATTTCCTGCCAAACAAATGAAACTATCACATGTATGTAAGAAAGGAGCAGAGTGCCAAGCCAGGATCCTAAACCGGCCAGGCTATTCCTTGTCCTAGGTTTAAATAATGGCTCTGCCACCCATCAGCCCATGCTGATCCTTTACTAGCACCTGGTCAAATAGCTCTCATGTGTGGCATTCTTGTGCCCTGGCCTGCTCAGAGCCCATGCATAAGGCAGGAGTCCTCTGGCTCCATGACTGGACGGGTCACACTCCTGCACTTCCAGTCTCAGAGCTGAGGATCAACCCCATCCGCAGCCAGTGGTTAGCTCAAAATGAGCCCCATGTGCTTCTTCCACCATCCACCCAAAGATGAGGCTCCAGATAGACACAGAAAAGCTGTCGCAACAAGCATGCAAAAGTCACTGCTATAAGCATGCTCCCGTGGACAACCTGGGGGATACCTGGCTTGGAGCAGATCTGAGCCCATTGAAGTAGGAGGATCAGAGTGGTGTGTTTGGAAGGAATTTTGGAAGACAGGCCGCAGATACCCTTCCTCAAGAATACAGGCAAGAAGGCAAGGCCTTACCTTACCCTGAGAGTTCATGTTTCCTAGGAGACACAGGACAGAAGAAACATTGGTTTTCGCTTGTCATCCTACTGAACAATAAGCCATGCCACAGTCCCCCCCCAGGAAGGCATCAGTAGGCTGAGCCCTACGACATGGTCAGTAGTTGAGATGGAAAAGATGGCACATTCATGTGGTTCCATTCAACTCTACTAGTTCCAGTTAAACTTTCATTTTTATTTTATGTGTATGCGTGTTCTGCCTGCATGTATATCTGCATACCACATGCATGCCTGGTGCTCATATACACCAGAAAGAGAGACTGAAATCTCCTGGAACTGGAGTTACAAATGGCTACAAGCTGCTATGTGGGTGCCGGAAATCAAACTCAGGTCCCTAGGAAGAGCAACCAGTGCTCTTAACCACTGAGCCATCTGCCCAGCTCCATTGGTTCCATCTTCAGGAGGAGAGGTAGTGAGATGAGGATCCCTGGCCAAGGTTACAGCTGTGAGAAGCAGAACTGGATCCCTGGTCAGCCTGGCACCCCTCCTGCCACACACAGATTTTTGGAAAGAGGAGAGAGAAGTGAGCTTGTGCCAACACTATTGCACAAGTGGCCAGGAGATGTTGAAGACAGATATATAACCCCGATCCACTGACAAAACCCCACTTACTACTCCTCTAGGAAGCCAGGTCCCAGGGGGCCTCTACGGATGCTGGGATGTGGTTCAGACACATGAAAGATTGTTCCCGAAGCCCTCAGTCCTCTGTTGGACAGTTCACTGGCCTGTCCCACAAGACAACTCAAAAAGCCCAACAATGAATGGCCTGCCTCTTCAGCCCTAGGTCTGAAGAAGTGTTGACTTGACCCTCCTCCTGGTGACCACATTCATTTTCCAGGGTTGCTGTCATCAAGTCCCCTAGGAACTGGCAGGGGACATAACCTGGATTGAAGGGGAGCATATTCTGCAAGGTCAGGAAAACCCTGTCTGGACTTCGTTTTGAAACGTGGACGTAAGTGTGTAGCACCAACCCCACCCCCACCGCCTCCCCTGGCCCACTGTGCCCTTTCCTAATCAAAGGAAAAACAATGAGCACAAGGTATCAATCACCTTAGGAAGGACAGCTGCTGGCAGATGATCCTCTCCTAAAATCTCCACAACCAGCCACCAGTTCTGAATGCCTGCCTGCACACACTTTGACACTTCAGATATGCAGCTTACTATCTCAGATGCACTCACCTGCCAAGGTACCAGGCCACCGCGAGTCCCAGGTGAGGAGACTGGAGCCCCAAGCCCTGGTTCACTGTCTGTAGACTTGACACCAAGTCCAGGGCTCGGAAGCTCACCAGAAGCCTTGCTGCAGGGGCCTCAGCCAATCAGCGCCCTCAGCGTCCTGGAGGCTGGGTACCTGGACCTCTTCCTGAAACTGACTCCACTGGCTCTGTACCTCAGCCCGGGGCCACCCGCTGGTCCTTGCCTTAGCCAGAGTCCACACCCGCCCACAAAACTCTAGCACCGCCCACTTCAGGAGCCGCACCCACGGCCAGCCCCCAGGAGGCGAGGTAAAGGCGGCTGAAGAGTCAGACCCACAAGTCAGCCTGCAACCTGCAGGCTGGCTTCACTGCAAGTACATCACCGCGCTTTCGCTCTTCCTCCTCCTTCTCTTTCAACCTCTGTTTCCTTAACCATGGAATGCGCTTAAGAAAATATGCTTTCCAATAGTGGAGTGTGGTGGCATTTTAATCCCAGAGCCTAGGAGGCAAAAGCTAGTGTCTCTGGGTTCCAAGAACACAGTGAAATCCCGGGGAGGGGGCCGGGGGTGACGGATGGACACTAGACACCTTTCATAAATTCAGCCCAGTGTTAACTGTAGCCTATGCTGCGAGCCTTTTTGTCTGACTGTACACACAAAGTTGAATGAGACACGATCTGATCCCAGTGTCATGCCATCGTTTCAGAGCTCTGAGGCCTGGAGAAGCAGAAAAGAGATAAATTAAGCTCCAGACAGCAAGTTGACCTGTGTCCTCTTTAGATGGCAACCCAAACAGAGGGCACAGCAAGGCCTAAGGCAGAGCTGGGGGTATTAAGGCAGTGTGGTCAGAGGGAAAGAGTGGGCTTCCAGAAAAACAATCAAGACGATCCTGGACAGACCGGCAAAGTTGTGGCAGTGGATTAGATAAGGGGCCAGGTAATTGCTTCTAATACAATAAGGCATCCTTTCCCCCAAAGAGGCCACATGGTAAACTCATCTGAGCTTAGAGGGCCTCCTGGGGTAACAGGATAATCCATACACAGAGACTCTTAGATGGGTCCCAGTTGAAATGGTTCCTGGCACTGTGGCCAGTGGTCCTTCAGTTGTCACTTAAGGTGTACTGAAAACTGTACAGAAATTACCTTATTTAATCATCGCAGCTGCTCTGAGAGATGGGTACCGTCATCCTTGCCTCTCTGATGAAGCAACAGGACCACAACTGAGCAACTGGCCTGAAGTCGCTCTGCCGAGAAGCAGCCAGATTTAGGACAGGAACCCTGCTACACCATCAGGCTTCTGCTCACTGGCTGTGGTTTGTGCCTGTTGTCTCTTCCTCGGGGACCACTCTCATCCCAGGACAGGCTGCAATATGCTGCTTTCTCCTTCAGACCAGCTTCCATGCCCTCACTGTATAATGCACTCCCGCAAGCCTCCAGCCCTGCTGCAGAAGCAAATGGAATCACTGACGATACAATTGTCTCCTCATTCTGTATCTTCTCGTCTCTGTCATCATCCAGGCCTCGCATAGATGCACAAATGAAGGCAACTCTGACAGAAGAAGGAATTTATTTTACAGGACCTGATTATAATGGTGACTTCTGAAATCATTGCCCATATAGAAGCCACTTGGTTCCAACAGAGAGAGCCATGGACGCTGGTTCCTGTGCTCATGCCGCATCTCAGACACTGTCACTGTCACCTGGCAGTTACAAAGGGCCTGGGCTGCTGCTTCCACATGAACACATGAGAACCACTGCCAGTTTCACAGGCCTCAGCACCCATGGGCTAGCAAAGGAGCTCAGCAGGCAGGGAAACTAGCACCGTTCCTGTGCTGGCTGGAGTACTCACCCTTATTCTAACTAGCTATCATCCAGTTTCACTGGTGAGAAAACTGAGCCTTGAAAAGCAGAGTATCAAACAGGATGTGGTGGCACATGCCTTCAGTCCCAGGACTTGGGAAACAACAGCAGGTGGATCTGTGTAAGTTCCGGGCCAGCCTGGTCTACAAACTGAGTTCCAGGAGAGCCAGGGCTATTACACAGAGAAACGCTGTCTTGAAAAACCAAAGAAGAAGGAAAACAGGAGGAGAAAGAGGAGGAGGAGGAGGAGGAGGAGGAGGAGGAGGAGGAGGAGGAGGAAGAGGAGGAAGAGGAGAAGAAAAAGGAGGAGGAGGAGGAGGAAGAGGAGAAGAAAGAGGAGGAGGAAGAAGAAGAAGAGAAAAATGAAAGTAGGGTATCCTCCAGAAAATTCACCTTGTACATAGGAGGACAGGGATTTGAGTCCAGGATTAAAGGTCCTTTTCTAGGACCATACGACACCTTTAGAAGGTGGGTAGCTTCTTGTCATTATATCCCTAGTGTGACCCAGCATATTTCACACTAGCTATTAGACACTTTGTCTCTGCTGGGGAAAGGAACAGCGCCCTCTAGTGACCCCAGAGCCAGGCCTTAGCACAGTGATTCTGAATCCATGGGTCGTGCGTGACTCATGGGGTAAGGGGGCATATCAGACATTCTGCATATCATGCATTTACATTATGATTCATAACAGTAGGAAAACTACAGTTATGGAGTGGCAATGAAATAATTAGGAAGGTGGAGAACCACTGTCCTAGCACAAGTGGAGTATCTAAAGAGCCCACTGGTAGAAAAACCAGAAATATCCCCACTCTCTGGCATCCAGGGCCAGCTGACCTATCTGCAGAATTCTTCTGGCAGGCTGCATTCCCAAGATGTGACTTCCCTCCTGCTGTAGGAACAGCTGGCCCACCTGATCTTCCTTAGTAACTTGAAGCCGGGCTTCACTGCTCATCCCTCAGAATGTTCCACAAGAATCATTTTGGAATGCAAGGCAGGCAGCATCAGGTGCGTTCAGCCCTCCAGGCTGCATGTCCTAATCACTGAATGTTTATTAATCTCTCAGTTCACTCAAGGTCAGTACGTTCCTTGGCCCAGTGAGGCAAACTGAGGGTCAGAAAGACAGACTTCTCCTTGATGGAAGATTCCTAAGACTTGAAGTCAGGCCCACTCATGGCTGCTGTCCCCACTGTGACAGCCAGTGTGGGAAGTGGTCACAGTCTGAACACGGAAGCCATCTTGTTGCTTACAGTAGAGCTGCAACTAAAATCCACGGGGCTGTTGAGAGGAAGCAGGGGCTGTGAAGAAGCACCCCAGACTGAGCTATACTCTGTCCTGAGTTCCCACCCACCCTCTTTCTCCCCTCCTAAGGATCAACCACTATCATTTCTAGTCACGCCTCACACTCCTCGCTGAACTATCCACCATAGTCTTAGAAGACCTGGGTCTCGGGCGTGGTGAACAGCTAGAGTCACCCTGAGCATTTTTCTTTGACTATTGCCTCCCTTAGATTTACCCTCCATTTAACACTTTGTGACTAGTAACTACCATTGCATTCATTTGTAGATAATGCTCATCAAGCCTGTTTTCCACACAGAAAATTTGTCCTCATTGTTAGAGACCCAGGCCTCTATGAAATGTGCCTTTACTTTCCCCATCCTGTGCAAGTGCACACACACACACACACACACACACACACACACATCTGCTCATTCTAAGCAAGCCATCCAAGCATGGCCTAAAAGCACAAAGCTCCCATGGGTAAAGCAGTTGTCCTAATTTTCCCTAGAAGATGGAGCAATGCCACATCAGCCACCCAAGGGAACGCACATTTGCTCACTCCTATAAACAGTCACCAATATGCTTAGAAAATTAACAGCACAGAGAGGATGTATCAAAATGATCTCAAAAAAGAAAAGCATGTTAAGATATCAAAAGCTTCCTGTTGGATTTTGGATTACAGACATAGTTGTATCCATCTAACAGAGACAGACTGGCAGGAAGCAAAAGAAACTACAAAAAGCAAGAGAGGACCCTTAAAAATACAACACAATGGCTGAAAATTTTAGAAAATTTCAAATCAAGTGTGATGGTGTAGTCCTGTCCTCCCAACCGCAGGAGGATCATAAGTTCAAGGCCACCTTTGTGACATAGTAAGACACTATACTTCAAAGGTAAATAAATAAAAGTCAATATTACATAACTAAAAAATGTTTCACTGCAAAGGGTGGCAGAATGGATTAAGGAAATATCCTGTGTTCTAGAGCAAAATCACAGCAATGTGGAGAAGCTAAAATAAAAATGAGAAATATAGATGATTAGCATAAGTGATCAGAAACATAGATAATGACAATAAGTTGTCGTTGGTGGTTAAAGTGTCTAGGAAGGAAAAGCAAGACCGTGAAAGAGCAAAATGACAGTCTTAGTCAAGGCAGGAGGCAGAGTTATCTCTCCATAGTCCAGTAAAGAGAGCCTTTTGGAAGGTGATTTAAAGAGACGCGTAGGACTAAAGCATGAAGGTGGGCCACCATGAGCAAGGGTGGGAAGCAGCTACCTCTCCACAGCTTATGAATGAAAGAAGATCGAACTGCCTCTGCTGGGGGAGTGTGAAGGAGTGATTTGCTATTCCCAGACTCTCTGTCACTATTCCCAGCCTCTGCACAAAAACAATGCAAATAAAACACATACCAGCATCCATTCCCAGAATCCTGCAGGTCTCTCCCATTGGTTAAATCCAACTGGAGTACACCAGCAAGAGCTACCTGCTCTCCCAGACACAGACCTGGGATGGAGGATAAACCTGTGTGTGAACAAAGGACAGTATTCTCTCACTCCAGTCATGGGGGATGCATCTCAAAATCCTCAGTGAAAGCCTGAAACAAGGATATGTCAAACCATGTACCCACACACAAATAAACATGTATTTAAACATACATTACTTAGAAGCTAGGTAAACTAAGAGATTAATAATGGCTAATAATAAAAGACAGCATTTTTTTGTTGTTTTTTCGAGACAGGGTTTCTCTATGTAGCCCTGGCTGTCCTAGAACTCACTCTGTAGACCAGGCTGGCCTCGAACTAAGAAATCCAAGTGCTGGGATGAAAGGCATGCGCCACCACTGCCCAGCGAGACAACAATTTTTATTTCTTAAAGTTTCTATTTAATATATTCAAACTATATTTGATGGTGAGAATTGAAACTTTGAAGTATATAAACAAGATATGGGAGAGACTATTGTCACCCACATATAGAATTACTACTAACAAAAGACTCCGTAGACTGGTAGGAT